AAAAAAAAAAAAAAAAAAAAAAAAAAAAAAATCACCCCACTCCCAAAAGGGAATTATGAAGAATGCAAAGAAGAACTCAAAGAACTGGAATTTAAGAAAATAGAAAATTTATTAGACATTGAATAGAAAAATAAAATCATCTAAAAAGAGACCCAGAGAGCTCCCTTGATCCCTCCGGGCACCTCTGTGCTGCCCACTCCAGCCTCAGTAAGTGGTTTATTTCATACACAATGGCTAGCAAAGATTAAAAAGACACAAATCTTCCAAAGACGACAGATGCTCAGCTTAAAGAGGTTGCTGACTGAGTCAGGCGCTACTGGGCCTAGAGAAGTCCACGTGTGTGGCCGCAGCACCAGCTCCGTCCCCAGCCTTAGGGACGCCAAGCATGTGACAAGGCTGACAGCTATCACCACTGCACGTCCAGCATCTGCTCTCTCCAGTGCTGCTTCTGCTCCTCTATTGCCTGAGCAAACCGATCCATGGCTACGGGGTCCAAATGGGGATGGAGAGAAGTAGACTTAGCGGGTCCGCAGGTGGGGCAGACACGCCTAGCTCATCAGACCATCACAGCCACCTGTTCAGGGCTCCCACCCTGGAGAAGACTTACAGGTGCACCTGTCACCTCCCTGAACTTGTGAAGTTCAGATCAAGCCTACATCTCAGTGTCTCCTCTCAAATGCTGCACCCGGGCTCTTGTTTTCTTAACTCTTTCAGTCTATCTTCTACACTAAACCAAAAGTTATTTCTGCAACACACGCCTTCATGAGAATGAATGACCCACCACTCTGCTCCCACTAAACAACACTTCTGGCTTTGTCATGGGGTGCAACAAATATTTAAAAAGTCACATTCGCCATAACGTCCCGAGAATATGGATTCCGCAGTATTGTGTGCGGGGCCTTCCATGGTCAAGCGTCTGTCTCACCCACTACAGGGCCAGCATCCCGCCTCTTACCACTTACTCCTGGCCCCAGTGGCCGGTTCAGTGACAGGCACAAAACAGACACCCAGAAGATATCATGAATGGAAAGGTGCTCAGGGTATAAGTCACTCTGTTTACAAGGAGCATCATTAAAAATTAAAACAGAAATAAGGCTCAGAAGGGCTAAAGCTAGAGGGTGCTGAATGCAAACTAATTTCTTTAAAGCGGCACACTCAGAAATGGAGTTGGAGATGGGTGGAGAGGCATCTTCAAAGGATGCTAGGATTGGGAGGTTGGCACTACTGACCTTCTCTTAGTCGGTGGGGATTTTCTGCAAACATGAGGCGAAACCAGCCAGGTTCCTCGAACATGTAAGATTTGCCACGGGCTAATATCAGCTTGTGGTCCAGGAAGCGGCGGTGGAGGATCAGTTCTTCTTCAAATGTGCACGGTTCCAGTAGCTGAGGAAGGCAGAGACACAGAGCTGAGCCCGAGCCTCACCTGGCAGCTCAGCCCAGAAACCCACCTGCAGTCCTGGCGCTCACCTTCTTCAAGTTTATCCAGATAGAAAGGCCACAGCCTCGACGGGGAAAGCAGATCTTGAACTGAAACTGCTCCTCCAACTCGAGCAGCCTCTTGGTGACGTACTTATACGCGTCGCGGAGCCGGGAGTAGCTCGTGGGCAGGTACACTCTGTTGATCCAGTCTGGGTGGGTGGGGGAGAGAATGCTCCTAGATCTGGTGACGGATTTGCCAGAGGGCTCCTTCCCGGTGCTCCTGCCTGAGCTTTGCGCCAGCTTCTTCTATCTAGGACCAAGTCTGTCCGGTACTGGACAGTTGGCATCCAACACACCACCTCTTATCTACAGCTCTAGAGAAGACACTGGGCTTTTCAGTGGTCCAGAAGGAATGCTCCTTTCTCTACTTTTTATTTTTGGTACTGGGCATCAAACTCGGGACCTTGTGCTTTCGAGGCAGGCAGCTACACCACTGAGCTAAATCCCCAGCCCCTGTTCAAGTTTAGACCTCTAAGGCAAAGAGTATTCCAGAGGGGACTGGTGCTGCTGTTGCTGTGGCCAGCTGGGTAGCTGAGCAGGCACTTAGACGTCCCCTTACATACTCCCTTTCCACCTCACGTAATGAACTTGGAGGAGCCCACCTGGGTCCCAGATCATTTTAGCCCCTTTGTTCTCAGCATTGGCAACACGAAATAATCACTTGGGGAACTTTCAGAATCCGTGATGCCCAGATTATTCCTCCAGATCCTCTGAATGGGAACCACTGGAGATGGAGCCCACAGTTGTATTTAAGCTCCTCATGATTCCCAGTACATCCAAGGGTGAGACCTTGTGTCCAAGGGGGCTGAATCTGGTTTCTGGTAAATATCAAAGAGGCTGGTACCACGTCGGGATGCACCCAGCTGCATTCCCATCTACCTCCTTCGCAACCCAGAGCTGAAAGCAGACTTTCTATACCAGCTAAGTTAATGGCATTAGTTTATTTCACTATACACCAGCGCTTAGTTGAAGCCTTCCATCCTGGCATGTTTTATTACAAGAAATTAAGAAACAGGGCATCTTCTAAGCTTGGGCTATAGCATTAAAGAGAAATCTGAGGCCATTGTTCACTGGAAGCCCAAGGGGAAGGTCAGTCTAGGGGCCATAGACCTAACCACACCAACTTGCCCAAGTGGCTATTCTCCTCTGGCCGCCTTGAAAAACAAGACCCGGCTGTGTAAAACGTCAGCAAGTTTCTTTGTAATCTCTACCTGAGGCGAGCAGGGTCCTGGGGCAGTAAAATAAGACATTCACAGAAAGATTTACTGCTGAAGCTCTTGCCTACCTCCTTTCCAGGCACAGCAAAAGCTACTGGGCATCAAGAATGAAAGCCCACCCTGCGTTTAGGAGAGCACCCCCATCTTCCACCTCCATCTTCCCGCCTACCGAACTTCTGAGCTACACCCTGCCGCGGTTAAGCCTGACAGTAACAAGATGTCTCAGCGTACTGAGGGCACCTCACAAGCACAAGAACACCCAGGAACTCTCTACAGCCATGATGCCACCCTAGGATGCAGTCGGTACCTCTGTCCCCAAGCAGACGACGCAGCTTGTACTGGGTGATGCCAGAGACACTGTGGAGGTAGCCAAAGGGGCTCATGGCAGAGACCACATCATCGTTGTGAGTATACAGAACGCCAAAGCGGAAGCCAGTGATGCCAAAATCCTAGAGGAAGAGGAGGACGAGGAGGAGGAGGGGGAGGAGGAGAAACGGATTTGTTTGCCTGCTGACTCCCCGGCTCCCCTTCCTTCCAGACCCAAGGACTGGCAGCGGGGCCTCACCTTACTGCCCCAGATCACGTGGGTCCTGTTGGGATCAGGCAAACTGGAGAAGAAATGGGGGCGGAAATCAAAATTTCAGTGAAGTATCTGAAAGACGGAGACTTGAGGGTCTGTGAGTAGAAGGGGGAAGTAGACTTGAGGTCTTTCAGCAGCAGGGACTAAGTTCAAGAAATGGTTCCAAAAGGTCTCCCTGAGGAAGGAGACGGAACAGCTCCCAGTGCCTACAGAGTGAAGTCCAGGTTCTCTGCCCTGCCAGACTTGGGGCTGTCCTGCACCGGCCCAAAGCCACGTTCTTTGCCGCTAGACCCTGCAGTGACTGCCACCCACCCTTCCTAGAAGATGCTTGTCCAGGTCTTTACCGCCCCACCTTCGGTGAAGCTCTTCCTTGCACCAGGTACACCCTTCCCTTGCTTTTCTAGAATCTCATCCCTAGGGCCAAATACTACCCTTCAGGAAGTACTGCACAGAGAGCACCGCGGTACATGCCTGTAACTGCAGTTACTCTGGAGGCTGAGGAGGAATTCAAGGCCATTTAGGAAGGCCCTATCTCAAAGCTGTTTTTTAAAAAATACCCCCCTTTTTTTTTTAAAGGTCTGGATGTATAGCTCACCTCTACCCCTGGATAGAACACTTCTAGTTTCAATCTCTGGTACTGCAAAAAAGAGATGCAGAACAAAGAAAGAGACAGCCCTGCCTTGTTCTGTTCTTTCCTGCATTCTGCTCACCAAGAACGCCTGGTGTGGGCTTTATCTCGACCTTTCACAGTGTACTTGCTACCTCGCCTTCAACTTAGTGTACATGCAGGGTGGCGTCTACACTGAACACCTCTGCTCATCTCTGCAACCCCAGCTAGCACGTAACTCCCTCACGTGTAACCAGGTAGGCTGTATCCCATGAACTCCGCCTGCAAAGCAGGGCCTCCGACTCCAGCTGAAACAAACTCACCTTTCTAAGCTCAGAACACTGTGGAATACGATGGTTTCGTCGAACTTGGACAGCATGTACGTTTCATCGATGATCACATGCAGTTCATTTCTGTAGTTGGGTGAAAGCAGAACGAGATACAGCTGCTCTCCACAGTCTTAACTCATTTTCATTCATGTTCTTTGGAGACAGGGCAGATTTTCTGGAGCCCAACAGCCCAGCCAGCCCTTCCAAGGGTAGGGTAGACAGAGGCGATATAGCAGAAGGGACCTTGAGCCCAGGCTGGCCAGGCTGAGAGGGAATAGGAAGGACCCTTATGTGGATATGAGCACATATCCACACTTCCAACCGCAAGCAGAGACCGGTGAGGACGCAAGTTGTCCTACAGTATTCTAATGTCGCACAGCAGACGCTCCGGCCCGGGGTCTGAATTGAGCAGTGGCATCAAGTAGGCCATGCAGTGCATGGCTCGTCACATCTACTCTCCCGATACGCCTCTGAAACAGTACTTCTACCCCCTTTCACAGACAAAATGAAAAGTGATGCTGTCAGGTGGGAGGGTAACTCCCGAAACTAGCAGGTACGAGGGTCGGCGTGTGAACTCGGCTCTGTGGAATTCTTGCCCACAGCCTCTAATACTGTTTCCAGGTCAGGCGTGGTGGTGCATGTCTGTAATCCCAGCACTCGGGAGGCTGAGGCAGGAGGATCTCTGTGAGTTCGAGACCAGCCTGGGCTACACAGCGAGTTCCACATCAGTCTCAACTACATAGTGAGACCCTGTCTCAAAAAAACCAAATAAATAAATAATACTGTTTCTATTCTCTGCCATTAATGGGTCCAGGTTAATCTTAATGTTTGAAAAAGTCTCTTGTGGAGAACAGAAGACGATCTGCCCTCCTGGGGCTATTTTAGGACTCTGGAGCTAAGCGATATACCAAGGTGTCCTGAAGCTTGGGCTGTGATGCTACACAGGAACACATCTGCACTGCACAAGGTCTGAGGAGCTTCTGTCTCCCCTGGCTCCTCAGCCAAAGTAGTCTGGGGAAATGGATGCTGGGGAAAGTGCTTTTGCTATGGAGAAAAGCAACAAAACTCTATTATAACTGCTATGCGAACATCTGTGCAAGGGAAGAGGCTAGGAAAGAAATGGCAAAAAGCTGGAAAGGGCATGCACACGGGTGCTTCTTCATTTTAGTTTCACTTGGTGGTCTGCAAGTCCATAAAGCAGAAAGTACAGTAGGAATGTTTAGGATAAGTTACCTCTGCTTCTGATTTCTGGCTACAAGAGAAGGGAACCCCTTTTGGGAACGTCATCCGGTCTTAAGGGATGGAGCTTGTACCTTTTGGCAAATTTCAGGTATTCTCTCAATGTTTCCTTCATGTTGACGTCACCCAGAGGATTCTGAGGGTTTGCCAGCAAGAGGCCTTTGACCTTTTTACTCTAAGAAGAGCCCAAATACAAAAAATGAACACAAGTCTTTCACCTCTACCCCAAGTTCAACCCAACCAAGAACCCTTGAGGGATCAGATTGCAATAAGAACATCGGACATCCGGGTAAGGCCAAAGCAGCCAATTGCCATACTGCCCGGGGGGCGGGACCAGAAGGCTCTCTGTGGGAGCTGCCACAGTCCAGGCCCAGCCGTGTCCCAGGAGGCACTGTCTCTTCCAACTACAGATAGACCTGCTCACCCCAACTCAATCAGGGCCACTCTGGAAACACGGTTCCCTCCTTACCTTATTCTTAGCTTCAAGCAGGACTTGCTCTAGTTTGCCCACAGTGGGCTTGGTAGGCTGGATGCGTTTATTAGTGATCTGGAAGAGAGAGTCTACTGATAAACGCCCACGGGAAAAGCTCCTGAGCCTCGATTCTTCATTCCCACACACCCCAGGCAATCCTTGGCCTTTGTACCAGGGTGCTGAACCTGCAGGGCTTCATCAGCCTGATTCCTCTACCCTTCCTCCTCCACCACTTGTACAGGGAGAGAGCAAGGCCCCCTGTGCCTCCTCAGTGACCCCTGGAACAGCCCACTGTTTAGGGGGGCTGAGCAGGGAAGGGGCCCATTCTGACCTCACTGTCCACGTGGACGGGAATCAGCTCAACTTGTGCATACATCTGGGCGCTAACGAGGAAGCCACTGTGGAAGGGAGTGGGGACCAGTATGGAATCTGGAAACACAGGGAGATGAAGCCATTAGTTCATGTTCTCTCAGAACCTGCCAGCTGGCCCCAGCCCTGGACTAGCAGCAAAGCTACCATCAGAAAAGTTCACTTTAGCAATCTATCCTCTCTGGGGGTTGATGCTCTTGGGCTCAGGCTCTGGAAAAATTATCTACTCTTGCAAACATTATCTGGGAAATGAAACTAATTTCCTCCTATGGGGTATATGAGAAAGAAGAGGAAAGTATTATTATGACCTTCTCAGAATCAGGGCCCAAGGCAAGATAGGGTAACAACAGGCAGAGTGCTGGGCATTAGGAAAGTCTGACCTGCTCCAGGCCAAACACTAGAGGCCAGGGTTCGTGCACAGGAGGAGACCTGCCATTTGGATTGGTGACCTCGTGTTCTTTCCTTCCCATCCATCTGGCCTCATGGATGGGCCAACCAAGACACAACCCCATTTGCCTTGGCCACTTCCTTCCATGCCACCAGAGCTCATTGAGACCTGAGACTCTTGCCTGGGCATTGTTCAAAGTGACATTGAGAATGGATCGTTCAACTTTATCTGGTCCAGAACTGGTTAGTTTTGTGGGGATTAGGGAGATGGTAAGAAATCTGTAAAGGCTAGGCTGTTACCAGAACCATCCATACTGCAGTGGAGCCCAAGAGCCCAGCTATTAACAGGAGGATTTTGCTCCCACTGTCACTACTGCTTAAGCACTGCCATGTGTGTCTGCCATATTAAATGAGGAATCCAAATCTCCTGTCAGCAATACAAAAGTCCTAGTCAGTGTAGAAGTGCTAGTGCTGAGTGATGATGCTCTTGGTCCCCGAGATCCAATGCTTGTTCTTGCTTACCCCCTGGGTCACACAGAACCATGGCCAGCGCAGAGAGGACAGCAGAGCAGCTATTCAGAACAACCACCTGAAGACATGCACAAAAGGCAGGCATCAAAAACAAGTACCCATCACTGATTCTGCTAATTGTCTCACAAGGGCAAGGACCCAAATTTGATCCCCGGTACCCACGACAGGGGGTGTGGCCATGGTGTCCCCCTCTCCCTGGCAGGAACAGGCACCTCGCCCTATTTGGATGTAACTCTGCCCTGGTCCTGGGGTCTCTCCTGGTTCTCCTTGACTTCCTTGGACAAAGCAGAGGATCCCCCAGGAACACGGCCCTCCACCAGCCTGACTCACACTTCTCATTTCGAGGCGGCTCTGTGCTCCGCAGTAGTAGGACAGGAACTTGGCCACTTCCGCCCGCAGGCTGTGGATAGATGCAGAGACACTTTGTGGTTCCCCCTCTTCGCTGAGCATTTACGTATCAGCCCTTTTCAAAGGGACTGGTGTTCACCCTAAGAGGGACTTTGCTACCCAGTCTGGCTTTTTATATGGCTATAAAATGAAGACGTCAACTCCTCAGGTCACAGACATTTTCTGGGACAAGAACTCAGATGATGCTATTTCTGTTGGACCAGGTTGCCCAATGAGGCTTTGCTCTCGTTTCCTGGGAGGTTACCCAAAGGAACCGGAAGGGAGCCAACCAAGAGTGTGGCAAGTTGAGTTCTTCCCTTGCGGCGGATCAGAGGAGGTCACTTACAACGGGTGCCCTCTCCAGTCCGGGTACTGCAGCAGGGGCTCCTCGATGTAGTTCATGTCATTCTGACACAACTGTTGACAAACACAGCGTGAGGACAGCCAGAGTGGGGGAGTCATCCCACTCCCCATGTGAACACGTGCCCTGCCCAGAAGGGGAGTGGCACCCTCTCTGCCTTTCCCTGGTGGGTGGAGGCCCCCATCTCATCTTTAACCATCCCAGACACCCCACGGGGCTCCTCTTAGCAGCCCCACACAGAGAACACCTCTGGTCACAGTCAGCAAGGGTAGGAGGTGACCTGTGCTGCTTTAGGAACCATTTTTCCACTCCCTTCCCCAGACTCCCATGTTCTGCTCACATCTAGCACACTCGGAGTATGCGAGGGGAGTGATCCCTGAAGGGTGGCCCCCAGCACAGCTCAGAACACGACTTACCCTTTCGGTCATCAGATCAACACACAGCCTGTTCTCATGGATGCCAAGGTTAAGGAAGCCCTGGAGGGGAAGGAATTTGAGATTTGTCCTCTTACACCAACCCCGCAGGGGCTCCTGCAGAGATGCCAGTTGAGCATGTATCTCAGGTCCGCTGAGATTTCACTGCCCCACGAGGCAACTCGATCCCTGTTTCCAAGAACCCAGAATCTTAAAGCTTGCAAACCTCCCCCTTTAGAGCCATATGGATAACTAATTGTTGAATTAGGCTCCCTTTCCTGTATCCACCAGATGCCAGACTAAATGCTTTACGTGAGTAATTCCTGAGAATGGGTTCTATAGAATCCCCAACTGAAGGATGAAGGAGAAAAGTTGAACGAACTACCAGCCATGTGACCTCGGGTGATGGGCAGAGCTCCACGCACCTGATCCGGAGCCTGGACCCTTAGCCACACTGGGCTCTCCCTGGCACCCACCTCTGCTATTACAACTAAGGGACCTCCAAGCTTTCAGAGGACCTGGAGCCTCTCCTCCGACGGGAGGAGAATACTCGACCCATCCCCAGGAAAGCAGATGCTCATTGGTCACTTAGACGGCAACAGAGGGAAGGCGTGGCCAGTACTCTCCCCCCTCCTGTGGCTGGACAGCTGCTGCGACCCTCCTTGGTGGGAACCTTTCGTGGGCTCTGTCACCCTCGGGTCATGTTTTAGCACCTCCTGTCCACTTCCGCCCGCCTTTACCACAGCACTCAATGCGTCAATCCTCACCATAGGGGCTTCTGCCCCAATCACAGAGTCCCTCTCCACTTACAGGTTCCACAGTGCTGCCCCTCCCTCCTGGCGGCCACCCCGTCACACCCTTCCTCCAGGGACTGGCTGGTTCAGCCTTTAAGACACTTTCCCAGAGCACCGGAAGTGGACATTCCTCCAGTGCCCTGGGCAACACGATTCATGTTTGTTTCCCTGATGGCCAACTGTACTCCTCCGTATACTCTGTCCACTTCCCACTCCACCACAGTTCCTGTCTCCTAGTACTTAAGAGCAGAGATGTAAGGAACGATTTGGGGTGGGGGACAGTTAGGGACCCAGACTCTAGTTGTCCACCTTTCTGGCAACGAGTCGTCTTAATCCCGTGACTGTACTCTTACTGAGTAAGGCAACAACAGCATCCACTGTGGGGGTATGTGGCACAGAACTCAAAACATCCCAGGGACAGTGCGGGCCCTCTGGGCCCCGATTCTTACCAAGGAGTTCAGGACGTTGTGGTATTTGTCTCCTTGGTAGGCCTGGTAGTCCTGGAAGTTTGAGTGGTAAAATGTAGAGATCTTAATCCCACGGTTGGACAGGATATGGCTGAGAAACGTAACTTCAGAGTCACTGTGCTGGGCACCTGGCTGGTGATGCTGCATAACTGATGGGGCCTGACTCATACTCCGGGTATCTGTACCGGCCTCAGAAGGCTTGCTGGAACCTGGAGAGGGGAGGGGGGAAGGGAGGGAGGGA